GGAGAGGCAGAGAGGGGAAAGGGAGAGAGGGGGAGAGAAGAGAATCTTTCATCTAATCGTTCATTTCCGAAATGTCAGCAATGACTGAGGCTGGGCCAGGCTGAAACCAGGTGCCTGGAACTCCATCGGGGTCTGCCACATAGGTACCAGGTACCCAACAATTTGGGCCATTGTTAGCTGTTGCCTTCCCAGGCACATTAGCAGGAAGCTGGATGGGAAGCGGAGCAGCCAGGATTTACATCAACACTATGGTACAGGTTGCTGGTGACATAAGTGGCAGCTTAATGTGCTGCCTCACAAAACTAGCTCCAAAGTCAAGAGCATTTTGTTGCTTCCTTTATGAAATGGGCATCAGGAGGTTCCCTGACTGAGATCTGCTCCATCCACATGGCCTCTGATGAGGCTGGGGAGAATGAACTATGAGCAGCATTGCACAGTTGGGGCACAGAAACAGCTGACTCATCAGCTGCCGGGAGCCAGAGTGCTAACTGCACTCCCCTCCACCCCAAACACATGGGTTAATCCCACAGGGGAAAGAGGGCCTTGCTTAACTCACACAAAATGCCTTGTTTAGGTGGGCCTTCCAATGCCCAAGGCTCTGGTCCCTGACTCTGGGATCTTAAAATACGGGTGCTTTGTCTCCACCTGTTCCAACTTCCTGGCACTGGAAGCCACTTGGGTGCTGTATACATAGCCCCGGTCCTGGCTTCTGGTCCCAGCTCAACCACTAAATGGGCTGGGTGACCCAGGCCCGCATCAGGAAGCCAGTGGCCACAGTGCTCTGGGCTGCCCCTCTGCAGTCCTAAGGTTCCTCACTCCCCGCAGGATTGAGGTGGCTTTCATAACAACCACTACAAAGCAGCACCCTTTTAATTTCCTGTGGCCCTGATCCCCAGCCATGGACAGCAGCAGAACTACATCAACTGGCCCTCTGACCTGAGTCAGAATCACAGTCACAGGCGGCTGGCAAAAAATTGGGGCCATTTTCAAGATCCGTGTCCTCCCATAACAGTTTCCAAAGGGTTTATGTTGCTGCATAAAACATGGGTGGGTGGCACCTGGTGTAGAGACAAGCACACAGCAGGTGCCATGCAACAGCTGTGGCTGATGGGAAGTCTCCAGCAGCAGAGTCAGCTGGTCTGCTCCTCCGACTTCCCAGACCTACTGAATTGGAAACTTTGGCAGGACTTATGAGTTGTACCCTCAAGGATTTGAGACCACAGTCGTAAGGACCTGAATAAAGCTTTTTCTGTTGGTCAGAAAGGAGAAGGTGCCGATGTACTTGGACTGAAGTTTCCAAGGCCAATGTGGCAAGTCCACTTTGCTGCAGCATTTCAGTGACACCCAGGGAGCTCTGGGCATGCACTGGGTGAGCACACAGCTAGCTTCCACCACCCTGGAGAGGTGGAGCCAATATAGAGGCAGAGGAAGCACAGGCTTTCCATAGTCCGGCACCTGGATTTGCATCCCAACTGTGGTTCCTGACTCCAGCTTCCTGCTAATGTAGACCCAGGAAGGCAGTGGTGGTGATGTCTCAAATCATTGTGTTGTTGCCATACATGTGAGATACCTTAACGGAAGGCTCTCCACTTCATCCTGGTCCAGCTGGAGTTTTAGGCGTTTAGAAAGTGAACCAGTGGATGAAAGATGGCTGTTTGCATCACAATTAAATAAAATTAAAAACAATGATAAAATGACACACAGCACATATGCACACATGAACATACGCATGAAGGAAAGCAAAGTAGGAGTTGAGCCAGTTGAATTGGAGAAGTGGCATCCTTGCCACAATCCCTTGGAAGTGGTAGGCCAAGAACGTGCTGCTGTTCCAGCTTTCCTGCGGCTGTGTAGTTGGTCTGAGGTTTCCCTCATTACCTTTCAAGGTCTGTGGCTTGGAGCATATACAGATCTGGGTTCAAATCTCAGCCATGTCTCTAATTGCTGGGTCTGGAGCTAATCACTTTAACCCCTTTTAAGTTTTCGTTTCCCCAGGCAGAAACGGACATCATGATTCACCCTCTCTAGTGTTGTTGAGGGGATTAGAACTGTGACAGGTTCAGGAAGCCAGCAGCTTTGGTACAAAAAAGCCGCTAAGTTCTGCAGAAGCCTGAATTGCCTTGGCGTCTGGGTTAGAGGATTCTGCACAAGTTCATCTCTCTGGGTCTTTCTCTGTCACAGACAGGAACACAGCCCCAGAGAGAGGTGGTACTAGCCTTCTGCGCACACCTTAGTCTCTTTAGGGCTTTTAATATCGCAGTGAAGAAACCCCAGTTCCTCTTCAGACTGGATGGGCGATGGACTGAGGCTCTCAGGTGGTGTGTGGTAATGGGACTCCTGGGACAAAGACACTTGTGAAAAGGAAGTCCCTGAGCCTGGGCCATTTGTGGCCTTTCTGTGAACACCAGAGTTTTTAAAAAACAGAGCTAGGGCCAGCACAATGGCTCAACTGGCTAATCCTCCAATTCTAAGCTCTGGCATCCCATAGGGGTGCCAGTTTGTACCCCGGTTATTCCACTTCCCATCCAGCTCCCTGCATGTGGCCTGGGAAAGCACAGAGAATGAGCCAAGTCCTTTGGATTCTACACCTGCAATGAAGACCCGGAGGAAGCTCCTGGCTCTTGGCTTTGGATTGTCTCTGCTCTGACTGTTGTGGGTATTTGGGGAGTGAACCAGCAGGTGGAAGATATTTTTTTCTGTCTCTCCTTCTTTTTTATAAATCTGCTTTTCCAGTGAAAAGAAATAAATCTTAAAAAACAACCAACCAACCAAAAATCCCCAAACAGAGAGGGCTCTGGGCAAGTGCTATTGAGGCCTTTGCAGGCTGGTCTAGGAGGAATACATCCGGAGATTGTCGCACCTGACTCTGAGTCTGGTGCTCAGGGGCCCTGGGGGAGGACAAGTCCTGAGTGCTGAGTGGTCGTGTGGTGCTGATGATGATGGCAGTGGGCACTTCCTATAAGCCAGGTATAGGATCAAACAATTGACTTCACACACATGCTTTGTCCCCCATCCTGATGAGATTCCTATATGGAGCAGCACCAATATGGCCCCCATTTCACAGATGAGAAAGTTGAGTTTCAGGTTAAGTGAATGACCGGAATTCAAACCTAAAGGTATAGGAGCCTAAGGTAAACCAGCAGTCTGTAAGGGGCAGAAAGAAGGTAAGGAACAAGCTGGTCAGTGCCTTCAGAGGATGCGTATGTGTGTGCATATAGCTATGAGGGCACTCCCCAAAGCTCATGGAAAAATGGAATTAAATGATGGGTTTATTTTAGTGCATAAAAACCCTGAAATCCATACATAGACCCCTCCTCACAATTCATAATTCAGATTTTCCATTTTGAGAAAACTTTCTTGGCACTCAATTTTTTTTTTTGCACCAAAATAATGTAATTCTTTGAATCCCATTTTCTCAAAAACCTTTTGAAGTATCCTCATGCAAGCTACTTTATTCCCATTCTGATGAATGAGAATACAGAGGGCCAGAAAATTTAGCGTCTGCCCTAGGAGGCCAGACATCAGCCAAGCACTTTACATATCTCCTAACATCCTATGATGTAAGTAGTTGTGATCCTTTTGGTGTAAATGAAGAGGCCAGACCCTAAGACTAAATGACTCTTGTAACCAGAAAGTAGAACTCTAGGGCCTGGGCTCTTCCTGAGCTGACCAAGAAGTGGTAGGAGCTGGACCAGAACCCAGGCCTCTGGAGGAAGGCTTTCTGCAGATTATGCATTGTTCTTTAAAAGCATGTGGGCTGCACGCCCAAAGCGTGAAATCACGCCTTGTGGTTCTGGGAACCTCCGCCTGGGGATGGAGGAAGTTTATGTTCTGGTGTTCAAGTCTGAGCAGGTACTTGCAGGGCTGTGAGTTTCCTCCCTGGGCTGGGTGTGCAGGATGGGGTGGGAGGAGGGCAGGAGGCAGGTGTGCCCAATGAAACAGGCGCAAATCTCCCCACCTTCTTGAAGATCTCCTGCCTGATAAAGAGCAGGCACAAGAATGAAAGTTCAAGGTTGAAGCCAAGGGACCTGAGTTCACTGCTGGCTTCAGGTGCACTCTTGGCAGCTTCTCTATCTGGACAAGCACTGCTAGTGAGGGTTAAAATCCTGCAGTTTTTTTCAGCTCATACATGACTCACAAAGCACCTACTGTGTGCAGGCCAACACAGATCAGAGCCCTGCTTTTGTGGGCCGTAGAGTCCAGTAAGGAGAGGTTCATAGGAACAAGCTCAAAGTAGTAAATGTGACCAGGCTTTGAAAGGAAAAGGAGAGCTAAATTACAAGGCTTTGGCGGTGGTCCAGGTGGAGAGAGAGTGGGTTGAGTCTGCGGGTGGGCTGCTGGTGGAGGGGTCCCTTGTCACAGCAACTGAGAAAAGGCCCACGGACTCTGCTGGCTGAAAACTTCTACGTGCAGGCATCGTGGGCCTAGAAAAGAGAAGTATTAGAAGTGTGTTTTTTGGGGGGTGGGGGTGGGGGTGGGGGTAGGGGGAGCAGTTGGTAGAAGAGGAGAGTGTTAGGAAGAAATGAGAGAAATGGTCAAGTCTTAAAAAATAAGGGTCAATACATTCCTCAAAGAGATAAAAAATGCCACCTCCTCTGAGCAGCCTTCCCTGATTGTGCCTCTGGCTTTTCTTTCTCCCTCCTAGCAAATCAGTTTAAGTTGAGAAATGCAAGCCTCCAGGGCTTTCTCTTCCCGCGGTTGAAGTACACGGAGGTTGCACACGCAACTCCCCGCCGGCCCAGCCTCAGTTTCCCCAGCTGTGCAGGAGCAGGTCGCCTCGCAGGGCCCGCCCAGCGCTAACGCAACGTGATTCGTCCTGGCAGAAGCGGGGGGCTGCCCGCATTGCTGCGCAGGCATCGGGCTGCTAGGCTGGGGCACTGCCACTCGGCTGCAGGCTGTCTGCTGCCTGCGGGGGGCTGCGGGAGCGGGTCTCGCCGTCAGGTTCTGCGCAGCGAAGTGGTGGGGGGTGCGACCCCCGGCCCGCGCGGGCGCCGCGAGGCCCCGCCCCCGCAGCCAGCGGCCCTGCGGCAGCCCCGGGCCCGAGCTCCGCCCTCCACCTCCCGCCGGCCTCGCTCTCTCCTCCCTCCCTCGCTCGCTCGCTCGCCCGCTCCCTCCCCCGGGCCGGCTCGGCGTTGATTCCGCCGCACGCTGCAGCCGCGGCTGGAAGATGGCGGGGAACGACTGCGGCGCGCTGCTGGACGAAGAGCTGTCTTCCTTCTTCCTCAACTATCTCTCCGACACGCAGGTAAGGCCGGCGGGGGCCGTAGGCCCAGGGCCCGGGTGCTGAGCCCCGGGGGCTGCAGTGGCAGCCGCGGAGGCTGGGGACGCAGCGGTGGGCGCGCTGGGGAGATTGGGGTTCGAGGCTGCAGAGCCCCGCTTTCACGAGCACTGCGTTGCGTTCCGTTACAGGGGGCGCGGAGCCCGTGGTCCTCCCGGACGCTTGCCGGAGCGCCAGGGGCGCTACGTCCGGTGGAGAGGGTCTTGCTTCGGCCGCCTGCAGTACGCCCGCCCGAGAGCCGAGCTAGGGGTACCGCGCCTCCTTGGGGAGGTGGAGCCATGCCAAGGTGTAGGGGACCCTCCGGCTGGCACTGGGTGCTGGAGGCGCGCCGTCAGCGCCCGGCACTTGCTGCCGTACTTTCACGTGTACTTGGGGCCCCGGCACGGGCGCCTGTACCCGGGCCCCGGAGTCGTCTGAACCCCTAATCCCCGGTTCCCCGCCACTCCACACCGTGTGCTGCTGCTGTTGACCCCCCACAGCTCCCTACTGGAGCCCGCAGCGCGGAGTTTCCTGCCAGTTGCGGGCTAAGGGCAAAGGGGGCTGCGGGCACGTGGATCTGCAGGCGGAGATAGCTAGCGCCTTCCTGGTTTCGCTATCCCGTGGAGCCCCCCGGGGCAAAGCAAGGCACGCAAGGCAAAGCTGGGTGGGGGCGGAAGCACTGTCAGGGGGGCTCCTGGGTCCCCCTGCGGCGCGCGGCCACGGCGCGTGCTCCACGACGCAGGGGGAAGGGAAGGCGAGGCGGCGTCCCGGGTTTTGGCTGAGCCCAGGAACCCCACCGGCGACACGCGCGTGACAGGAGACGGTGCTATGGTGTGCCGGGTGTGTGGGGGAGGGCGAGGAAGCGGGCAGCTCAGAGCCGGGGACGGGGTGCTGCCAGGACCTGCAGCTCTCGAAAAGGTTGGTGTGGGGCCTGAGCCCCCCTCCACCCCTTCCCCAATCTACCCTCACCCACCCATGCCTGTTGCAAGCATAAAGTTTGACAACGGAGTTCGGGCTTTTTCTCTGGGCAGGCGGCTGTTGGGTCACCGAGAGACTGAGGAAACTGTGGGGCCGTTGGAGGAGACCCCGAATGCGGGGACACGCCTGGGCGCCGAGAAGGGCCGCCGGGTAGAACCGGGCGCGGCTTGCGGGGGCTGGTTGGGTACCTGGAGTGGGAACGCCGGTGCTGGCCCGTTTTGCATAACACGGGAAGGGAGGGGGCAGGCGGAGGGGCCGGGAGGTGGGAGGAGAGAGAGAGAAAGAGAGAGGGAAACTTTGCTTCTTGTTATAATCTGCCAGTCTCTGGGCGGTAGCAGCTGTCATGGGACCGGGTGGGCGGGGAGAGGCTCGCTAGCTGACTCCCTTGCGGTGAGACGCGACTTGGAGGGGGACGCCGCCGCCGAGACGTTCAGCTGCGGGCAGGCTCCGGGCGGCGATCGGGCTGGCGGCCGGGACAGCGCGGCTTGGCGGGTGTCGCCGAGTGGAAGCCCACGGCGCGCTGAGCGGGGAAGGCCGGCCCGCGCGCTGCAGACGAGCCTGCGCCCGGGGTCCAGCCGCGGGGCCGCGTGCTGGGTGGCGGGGGGCGCGCCTGGGTGGGTCGGCGGCCGAGCGGGGCTGGCGGCGTGTGACTGCGCGCGGCTGCGGGTCGGGGGCCGCGCCCGTGGGTGCGTGTGTGTGCGGGTGTGTGTGTGCGCGCGCCGGGCGCGTACCTTTGCCGCTGACGAAACTGCGGTGGAGAGCTCCCGCCGCTGTCGCCGGCTCCGTCACACGCCCCGCGCCCGCGTGTTTGCCGAGGCGAGTCCCAAGCCTCTGCACCCCCGGAGCCTACACCTGTGGCGAAGGGAAGGCTGGATTCCGGCTGGGGGAAGAGGGTGTCGCAGAGTAGGGAAGACCCTGCTCCTAAGGCCTTGCCCATGCCCGGGGTGAGGGGTTTGTCTCCAAGCCTGGAGTCAGAGCCGAGGCGGAGGAAGCCTGACACAGTTGGCGCCACGGCAGGAACTGCGGGTTCCCAGAGCTGGGCTCTCCCACCCACCCCGGTTTTAACTCTAGCCTTGGCACTGCGATTATTGCTGCTTTCTGCCTCTGAGACCCACGGAGCAAACCTGCCCACCCAAGGGGAATATTTACCCCCTAGGAAGCTAGCGAAGTGAGTGATCCGATGTCAGCCAAGGCAGTGCAGTGAAAGTTAATCTGGGACGTTCCCTTTTTTTATGGAGCCACGTGACAGGTCGAGGATCTTGTGTGGATCTTCGCCGGCCCAACTTGGGAAATGTAATGGGTAGGGCGCGTCTTGCGGCCGGCCCTACAAGGCTCCCAGCGCGCCGCCGGAAGAGAAGCTGGGCGGGCCGTGGCGCGGCGCCGCCTCATTTTACAGCTGGAGGGAAGAGGCAGTGTTGGGTGAGCGGCTTGTCCAGGACCACGCAGCCAGCGGGTGACAGAGCCACCCAGGGCTCCTGACCCCAGGTCCTGTGTGTTACCTTGAAATAGCACTGGACTTGGAGTCAGAAGGCCTGAGTGGAGTCGTCTTCCCCACTCTCTGGCTGGGTGATCCCGAGCAAGCCATTTGAACTCTACGCGCCTTGGTCCTCCCGCTGTCAAATGGGGCTGGCCGTACAAGGGCCAGGACCTACCTGATTGTGGGGTGAGCGTTGTTTGCATGCGAGCTGTGCGGTGCGTCGGTAGCCCCCCTCCTACCCCATCCCACCCCTCCCCAGCCTTGCCCTTGGTCCTCTCTTCTGCTCTCTTCTCCCGCCCTCCGGGAGGGTTGGGGAAAGTGACCATTCATTGATTTTTGTTGTTGCTGTTTTTGGTTGTTAATACAGAGTTTGATTATCTATCAGGGCTGCTGCTGAAGAAATTTCTTTTTAAAAATTATTATTATCATGTTATGATACAGTTTCATAGACCCTGGGATTTTGCTTACCCCCTCCTCAAGTTCCCTCCCCAACCAAGTTCCACTGTATTATTACTATAGTACAAGACTTAACTTTTACCCCCCCCCCCCACCGGGGCCAAAGTACAGACATGAAGCTGAGCAGAGATTGTGAAAGCTTCTTGGAAAGGGTTGAGGAATGTTTCCCAAGGGACTCTGGGGCTGCTGTCACCTTTGCTCAGGCTGTGCCTTGCCTGGAGTGTCCTGTGGCCCCCATCCGTCATGACCCCCATCCTGCATGGCCTCCGCTGCCACCCCCAGGCCCCCTCCTTCCAGGCCAGCATTTCCAGCCTGGCTTGGCCTGCTTTTTTTCCCCCCTGGGTTTCCAAGTGTGTGTTACATAGCTAGGCACTGGGTATGTGTGGAACCATGGACCCAGCTGTGCCTTCCATTTCTCTCTGACCACATGGCACCTGTCAGCACGCTGAGCCATGTTTCTCTGCCTGGTTGGTAGGTCTGGCACATGGATTATGGGCGACAGTGCAGGCAGGCCCTGCGAAGGAGCAGTTTCCAGGGTGGTAGGGGTGACGGCTGGGGAGCGAGGCATGCAGAGGGCTGCAGCTGTGGGCCAGGGCTTAGGCTCCAGAGGCAGCACGGTCGAGCCCCTGCTAAACGTGGGCAGCTGGAAGTCACCTGGAGAGTCAGTCCTGGATGCCTAAGATGTCAGACTCGGCTAGGACTATGTATTAGATCCTCATTGCTTAGTCATACTTAATTACAAAATTTAGACTAGATTCTATGCATAAAGGAGACAGAAGTATGTAATTTTAGCTGAAGATAACACTTTTTGATGTTTCGTATGTATTTCTTGACTGTTTTCTTATTGTTGTAGATCACTGCCCCCCACGAGTCCTTCAGTACATACTAATTTGTGACTTGGGAACACCTGTTTTGTAGTTGCTTCTTTCTCTTCCAAATAATATGCAATGAACACCCTTCCATATCAATAAATATTCTTGATATTCTCCTAGTTATATAGCATGTCTTTGGGAGATTGAACACAGTGTATTTAACCATTTTGTCATTGTTACTCCTGTTGAGTTATTTACAATTGTTTCATGGCTATTGTAAGTAATGTTGAGATGAATATCTTTGCACACGTGTCTCCTTTCTTTTCTCCCCCCCACCCCCTTTCTTTTCTTTAAATTCCTAGAGGTGAAATGGCTCCATCAAAGGAATTGTGCGGGCATGTGGTAAACACGCTTTGAGTTGCCTTCTAGAAGGAGGTGCTGAGTGGCCGTGGCTGCCTTCCATACTCACAGGACTCCTGGCATTTTCTTGCTATTTCCTTTTCCCCAGGTTGTTCATCAATAAATTCTGTCACTATTATTATTTGCATGTGTATTTCTTTGATTACCGCGATGTTGAACTCCCGCCTGCCCACACCATGACGGTGTTTCTGTTCTGTAAAGTGTTTGTGTGAACTTGGCCCATTTTGCAATTGGTATGCTGTCCGCATGTCACAGAGCTGGAGCTGAGCACCCAGAAGGGGCCACTGCCACATAGAGAAAGGAGGGAATTAGTTTGCTAAGTCAGGGCTGTCGTGGAGGCCAGGGTCAACTTGTTTTTCAAGTCCAAGTTCCAGCTACACGTAGGAGCAGATGGACATGCATCCTTTGCCCACCGTCATTTCTGTGAGACCCAGTGGGGCGGGTAGGAGCAGGAGGGAGGTCACACGAGGCATGTTCACTGGAGGCCTGAGTTCTCTGGCTTATGCCCATGAAACCCATGAAACCCAGGAAAGGCAGTGGCTCAGCAGCTGGACTCCGGAGGCTCATGTTTCCCTTCTATGCTGGGGCCTCCAGTCCCAGCAGGTGCAGGCCGGCCCCAGGGTCGCCTAAGCCGCAACATGAGTCACTCTTTCCCTTCTCTCCCCAGGAGAGTTTCTACTGCCTAAGCATACTGCCTGGAGTAAGAAGCAGCCTTGCAGATGGGGGCTGTGGCTTGGCAGTGAAATCTTAGCCAGGGCCTTCCGGTGTTACCAACTGTCTTCTTCATCATCTTCTTCAGTGACATTTATTGAGCCAGTTGTAGATCCCTGACCCCAGTGGAACCT